CCTCTATTCTGCATGTACTTCACAAAACTGTAGAAGTGCACACAGAATAGAGTACTTCTACTTCTATAGCCATTTTGCTGGAATTAGCTCTTCCCGCGATTGGTATGAAATATTCTTATTTTATCTTTATCTTTATTATTTTAACTCTTATGCTCACGTTTCGACAGGATCATCCTCATCGGAGCACTGTAGAGTATATATCTACATGCTCTACCATGCTTTTCCGCCATTCTTCTCAAATCTAAACTACAAAAGGGCACATCCTTATAAAGATGGGCCGCAACTTACTACAATCCTCCTGCAGTAGCTAAGTACTCCTGTCATAACTGCTTGTTTCGCTGACATGGGATCGTTATTTTTTTCCACGTAGTCACTTTGTTGATTGAACGTATTCTTAGTGCAGTTCTCTTGCTTGCGACACCATGTGATGGACATTCCTCGTTGGTAAAATGTAAATAAGAGTACTCAAAAGTTTAGATACTCGCTGAAGAGATGTAGGATTAAATTCCTTCCGATCATTTTGTGTTTAAGGGGTTTTTGTTTCCATCGTTGTAGAATGCGAAGAGTTTTGTACGAACATATTTAGCTGGCTGTCTGATTATTAAAGGCACAGTTCACGATGAAAATGGTCTCTGAGATTTCCCTATAGTATAAATTCGAGGCTCCTCCTTATGCCATACCTGTCGTTATAAGGGCGAAAAACGTCACGATAGGGCACAATAGAGAACCAGAAATTGTATCGTGTGAATGCTTCACCCCTAGTGGACGAGTTTCAACGGCTTTGTAGAGGCTGCATCATCCATTAGGCAACCAATGTAGGAAGTTCAAACAATTTGTCATGACTCTTAGCGACAGTAAAAGGCAATTCTGGTCAGTTATGGTTTGATGTAGTCAGCTCTTTGCACGATGGGAGTAAGTTAAACCTCGTTCAAAAACCCTATACATGGTATTACTGTCGCGGTGATCTCGTACAACCTCCACTTCCACTAAATTTGAAAAGCTTAAAGTGGACGAATTTTCTCGCTTTCTTCGCCACCGTTGTACTCCTTTACATCAACACTTCCACTTTTCAACTAAAAAGGGTATCTCAAAATTATCGTGAACTGTGCCTTGAACGGAGCTCTTGTGTAGGACAGCATCGAAGGTTCATTCACCGGATTCCGAAACAGTGTCCCGTAGAGCTCGGTGTGATGAGGTCACAGTAGCAGTAGTGGTAATACGATGCAAATTCGTTTGAACATCGTGGCCGCATGTCATTGGTAGCATTAGTGCTGAGGAATGGGAGTGCTCACATTTAAGCCGTATAACTCTACATATTTGGAGGGAAAACAAAGAGCTATCATACTCAAAAGTATAAATTGCACTGATGTTCTGGGCTTCTGGGCCCAACGACGGAGGAAAACATGCCCGTATCCAGTCAAGCCGTTGAACTACGGCAGAGTACTAGTTGCTGAGATATGTAGTCTACGGATTCCTCAGACCTTTCTACTTGGATTTAGGCAAATAGCCATCTTAGAATATGAGTGTAGACTACTAAATTTCTGTTGCCATTCCTAGGAGAATCTAATCTAGATTTTCAAAGAACCAACTATCGGAGGTTGACCGAATGGTAGGTACAACTTCATCGGACGAATTTGAATCGAATTACAACGTAAAAAAAGTGACAATTTGCGTCTTTCGTGTGATTGTGATAATTTTTCCGGTTACGGTATTTGAGATTAGTTGCCGTCTCAACATAAGCAGCTTTCCGTGGCCAGAAATGAATGGTTACGAATATTGCAATGTTCGTCAAATAAGTAATTCTTGGAAAGAGCTCTGCATTCGATGGCAGTTCGGGAAAAGCGACCAATTCCATATATGGATTTTGATTTTCTCATTGAAATCATCAACATTTTGCCCTCGTAACATCAGCATGCAGGCAAATACAATTAATGCGCACTGATTTATATACGAATGCCTTCTAAGAAAGGAGTAAGATCAGCGATTAACTTATCAGGAAATTGGAGGAATTCTAAGTTGCATAGTTCTGGTGAAGATATACGGAAATGAAGGTCCGGTAGGGAAACTCGCGGCTATACAGTAAGTAAGGTACAGCTGGTGGTCACGCGGAATATTGCGTGTAGACTTACTTAGTTATAAGAGGAGCAGCTTATATCGGTAGCGACTGACTGTCGGCATACAGTCGTGTAATTTTCGAAACGGCATACCCAGCCATTTTGAATGCACGTAAACGATCCTTCTATTTATAACTCCGTTCCTCCCTGCTTTTCGACTCGGGAGAAGGGAGTGACTGTATACGTTTTAGCAGCTAGGCGTGTGTATGTGTGCAAGTTTATAGTATGTGTGTATGTGTCTGTATTTGGATGTGTACATGTCTCTGTCATATCTAAGTGTATGCATGTTTGACAAAGTGTCATCTGCTCCGAAGAAGGAGCGACGGGTCAGCCGATAATCACAACTTCGTCATAAAAAGAAGGGAAGGTTGGCATTAGTTGGGCGATCCAAGTGATTCACTCATAGCTTCTTTAATACAATGAATCTAACGATGACTACTCGAGAAACTTCTCTTCATTTAACGACTCTTTCTTTCATCACTCCACTCTTTTCAAAGTTTAGACGTGAGGAACCATAACCCGGAGATCTCGCATATTCCCAAGCGTTTTCTCTCTACAGTCTGATAAAAAGATCATCAATAGAACGATAATCGGGAAAGTGAATAATCTACCCCTTTCTATTACGACTTCTCCCCTATACAGACTTATAAGAATAAAGAGAGTAGCTATGTAGTTGCACCATTTCGAGAGTAAAGCCCTGATCTAGAAAACAGAAGTAAACCGCATGTTGTTCTTCCATTCTGGTTGCTGGAAATCCACTGAGAAAAACTATTACCTATTGATGACTAGATTTGAGAAGGTCTATTTCCGCAAGGGACACATACATTCTTGGATCGATCGTCTTTTTTTTTATTATCAAACAAATTATTTTTAAGGCTTCGCCATTTTTATTCAGATTTTCGATAAGGTGGTTATGTCACTAAATTTCGGTGTTGGTTAGTCGAATTTCTGATTTCAGCTCTAGCTCTATCACGTCATGGCAAGGTGTTGTCAGATATTAGTAGGACCTCGCGTGGAAACATCTCACTACTTGACGAAAAGAGATCCTTCTTCTCCCGCTTCTTTCTATTCTGGCTCAGTCCTCTTCTGAAAAAAGGTTTGGATCAGCTTACGTTTTTGAATTTCTTCATTTTTGTTGTTCAACCCTGCTGATGTTGAGGGAGCTTGTCTTTATTTCGTTCAAGATCTTCTTGACTCCCGTGTTTGTCACATTCTTGATGTTTTTTTTAGTCCCAGTCTCGTTTATCGTTTTATAATGCATAAAAGTTAGGACAATTGCAAGCAATGCATCTGCATACAATCAGCTGCGACACAGGAGGAAGCCTCGACTAGCTGATGCCGAGAAAGAAACCCAAATCTTTCATACTGGGGATCAAAAGAAAAAGGCTCTTTCAAGCTTGAGGCCCAGGGACAGTCAGCGACTAGGGAAAAAGGGATGGTATATAAGTGTCTATAAGTGTTCGAAGTAGCGCACGTTGAAGTATTACAGAGTAAAAATTTGACACGATATCAAGGGAATAATAATAAAATTGAATTATATTAGGTTGATGCATAATTATTGCCAATTTTTTCGCGGCTCCTATTCTAAAATCAAACTCTTGAATTCGGAATTTTTGTAGAAATAATCTTCTCGCTTTCCTTAACAGAAATATGTCTAGAAAAACATCTTTGTATACGCCAAATTATGCTCTATTACGTCGAGAAATGCTGGAAGGCGGGACAATCATAACGTGATCTCAACGAACTTCTCGGCGATGGAGCAGTTGGCCAAGCCGAATAAAGAATGGAATCTGCTTCTACGGTCACCTTACTCACTAACTGAAACTCCTATGGATTATCGCGCTGATCGCCCGTTGAAAAATTTGTTAACGAACAGAACTCTCGACGAAGTGGATGGTTTGATGGCCAACGTCAAAGCGTGATCGCCTCCAAGAATCGGAACTTCTTCGTCTGTGGAATCCGACCTCCCAGCAAATGGGAAGCAGTGCTTGACGTAGATGGTTGATATGTCCCGGAACAATTATTTGAACATATCTTTGCTAGATATTTTTATCGTTTCTTCAAGTAAAATTTGCTGAAAAAAATCCTCAATAATTATCCATCAACCTAATAACAGTCATTTGCATCATGAACTGCTTTTCCGAACAGTGTTTATTGAGACCACTTGAATCGATCGACGTCGTAATGCGGCAATGTAACGTAGTAAAAGCTTAGTAGTATAATGTGCGCAGTATTAAAAAGATAAAGTCTTGGGGCGTTAATCAATCCCATCTCAGGAATGCGCCTACGTATTGGACTTCTATTCAGATTCGTAATGGCGTAATGAATTCGTATGTGGCCTATACATACCTACCTATATGCCTGCAAATGTCCAGGTTTCAAGGGCTTGGATGTAATCAGCAGGAAGATTCGGAAGATCAAATTATTAGAAGAAGCAGACCTGATATACGGGGACTAGCATTCGTGAAATATACTCCACTGTTCCACCCCTGATATTTGTTCACAGTCTCAATAACACGGCTATTCACTCTTCAACTGCAACTACGACCTTTTGATCAGCTATTTCCCTTTGGATGATCAGCGCTTCGAAGTTGGAAGAGCTTGAGAAGCGTTCCCTATGATGTCGAAATTTTAGAATAAAAGAGCGGTTGGATTTGCGCGTCAGACCTTCACAAATACCCATTCAGCGATGTATTACATAAGATTGGAACTGATAGTAGTTCGCAGTCGCTGACTGACTTTTCAGTTCAGAATCCTGAGAAACAACTGGACACTTCCAATACATAATCTAGCATCAGTCCTCCGATATTTGGGCATAAAATTCAAGATACTGCTATCGGAAGTCGATTGATGATATCATTCTTCTTATGCAACCGTATACCTCCCATGCTTATCTCAGGATCTAAGAGGACGCTCATATACGACGATCTCCCACCACTGAAGCAGAAATATAGATCAATTAATCTGCTCAGAAAGTGGAAAATCGGTAAGTTTATGTGTGAAAGATTTTCTAACATTACAACGCAGATCTCTCTTTAATTCAGGATGTCGAACCAGGATCATTCCAAAACTTTTGGTAAGGTATCGCTGGTCCGTGTTTGGAGCCGTAGTCACGAAATTGGCTGCTGAAATGTTCGATTTCGTGAATCCAATTTTGCTAAAGTAGGAATGGAATTTCTCAAGTTTTAGCGATTATAGCACTGAGCAGTATAGAAAAGAGTGCCTTGTTAGAGTAAGAAAAGTGCGATTGAGCGAATCCATGACTAACGAGACGACAAGTGACGTAGGTGATCGAACCGGGGAATCGGGTCTAGACAGTCCCCTTCATCATTTGTAGAATGTGGATGGGTGAATTACATACATTCCTATGTAACATATTTCCATTACCGCCCTATCCGTTAAGAAAGGAGGCTAGCCAGTATTCCGAGTATGCAGATTCTGTGGCACAGTACAGAACCGTGAATGCACTCTCGAAGCTGTGTGTTCTAGCGCAAATCCTAATCTACTCACCCACCCGATGGCATTCCCGGACACATTTCATTGCACAGCGTATGTAACGGGCTCTATTAGTCACCTACTTGTTACTTGTGATTCACAGTCTGTGGTGACTGCATCGGCAAAACTCCCCGCGGACAGCGATCTCTGTCTTGTGTAGGAAAGATTACCATCTAGGTGAGCATCTGTTAGCGACCAGCATGTTTTCTGAGCTTGAGAGCATCTGCAACCATTGATCTTTTGCAGTTCATACTGCCATAATTTGAACCATACCAGATCAAAAGTGGATATATTCGGTATGTGAATTACAAAATATGGAATTTAGACACAACGATTTCTAGTTCAAATGAACGATTCTCATTTAGAATGATTTCCACATACTTTATTCGTATACGGAAACACAGGATTCCTTTCAGATTGCTTATAGAAACAGGTTTTCATCGAGGGCTAGTCACGAAAAGCCTTACGATCTGTGTGATTATGTTCTTGTGTGGAGAATTGAAATCAATTCTGTTAGGTATTTGTTACAACTTTTTATCTATTCCATTTATACATTGCGCTGATTCTTACAGTATTTGTAACAAGTCATCATACTCACCACACCAACTAACTTATGGTTCTCTACTGTTCACTTAGTTTACGACTGGGTTTTTTTCGTTTTTGGAGCTCGCGATTAGAATTACTGCACTGTATTGAGCTTGTGAAATCTGTGCTGCTCAGGGATCCACAACTATCTTGTTGGGAGGGATGCTTCCACGGCACTTGCACTGATTATCAACTCTATCTTGAAAAAGGTAACTCCGCGATAATTAGTGCATTGCTCTCTTTCAACAAATGATTGTCCCGACATTAAGAGTCTACGTCTTGCGAGCTGGTCTCGAGCGAAATGGCCCACTGGTCGAGTAGTCAATCTGGTTACAGTGGATGCGGAAGCGCTTGCAGCAGCAGCACCCTTTTCTCATCATATGTGGGCGGCTGTACTGGAGGTATTGGTGTTTTAGGAGTCGAATGAATGATCATACATGATGTCAAGTCACTTCGGAAAAGCCTCCAAGATTGAATAGTAGACGAACGAGAGTAAGGGGAAAAGAAGCACAGTGGCTGTCAAAATCACAGAGTAAGGTGTAAAGAGTACTCCTCTAACGGTTACCGACTCAGATTGCCATCGCTTTATCTCTGATCTACATAACAATCGGGCCACCGGTGCTTGGTGCTGTCATTGTCATGTTTCTCTACGTTCCGTTCAATTACTGCTTTTCACTTATAATCAAATCTTATCAGGTACGTTTCATTTTGTGAATCTTCCCTTACCTTGATCACGATCACAGATTGCTGCAATAGATCGATTAGGGCAACTCAATAGAAGCATCACGAACACGGCTACAAGTGGGTTTTCTTGATCATCCGACAGTCCCCCTTCACATGCGCCAATCATCTAGTCGCTCCACCTCATGTGAAAGGAGTTTCGTAGGACTTGGTGACGAGAGATGAGATCTAGATATTCTATGACAACAACAAGGGGGTTGCGGTCTGTCCCCTCGAAAGAGAAAATTTGCCTTAGAAAAGCGAACGGGATAGACTCTCTGTGCTGCTCTCGGATCTAATAATAATGGTCATACCGTAAGTTGCTCCATCCAAGCCAAACAGTGACGTCTACCATTTACAAAAGCCAGCTCCAAAAACTCTCACATATTTCCTCGTAGAAGTGTCGAAGTCGAAGATGAACGACCATGAAAAGTTTCTACTCGTCTCCTGCATGATAGCGCTAGGCTGCATGTCACAAAGCCCACGCGGTCCACAGGAACATGGTTGAAATTGCATTCCCTTTTTCTCTTAACCTCGACCCTTCTGACTAACATCGTTTGAAACTCCTGATGTCCTCATCACATTACCATCATGGATCAAGCCATCATGCTACTTTTTTTGTATGGAGCCATTTTTCTAGAACCCCAGCAACTGTTAGAGGATAGTGTGATAAAGTTTTCAGGTGTTGAATAATCCTGTCTGAAGGATGCGCGCCCGCTTTCGACTTCCATTCAGGATCGTAGTTTCGTATTGAATGCATGTGTAACTTATACAATGACTTGAGGTGACCAATGTACAAGTCAGTCCTTTTATACTCCCAAACGAGTCTTACCATTGACCGACCCCGGAGTTTTTGTAACGTCTCCACGGTAGGTGTATATAGCCGAGATGCTTTCCCTAACATGAATCACGATGTCAACCCACACGAGCAATAGCCGCCATCTTCCATGAATGGTAGCGCGACACTGTAACGATGGCTACCGTATGTTTTATCAATAACGCATCGGGAATGGACAGCAGTTCCGTTAGCGCTGTCAAACGCTGGTCCCCTCGCTTTGAAGGAGGAGGCGCTTGGACTTCGAATACAAGCCTCGGTCGAGACTCCTCACTCTGTTGAAAATTCGGCCATTCTCGACGCTGAAAAAGATCCCGATCTCGCGATGAGGCTCGTGTGTACCCATTCGGCAATCGCCTTATGTACTGATCGAAAGCGGTTCACCATGGTGTCCATTTGTCAATCTTGCTTATTAGTCCGGATTGTGTTTTCCAAAGACATAAGGATTGGGTCTTTTACGATTTGAGTTGAGGACGAGGAAAGGAAGGGTACCAAGAAATAAATACGAATGCCTTTTCTCTTAACTGTCTCAATATTCAATATATTTCTCATCCTTGTCGGGAATATACTTTACTTTGATATAGTTTTTGTCAGTGTGCATTTTTTAGGCCAAACAAATGCAGATGAAGGACAACCGCGTTAAGTTCACGAAAGAGGTAGGACGAGTTTGAGATTGTGATTCACTTCCAACACCTTGGACATTGCTGTGATGGTATATCATTACTAGATATACTCACCCCTATTTAGAAGAGGGAGATCTTACCATGAGATTAAGGTGACTTCTTGTTATATTAGGTCTTGTTTGAATGTTCGCAAGCTTTCTTTTAGAACAAAACGAGCAACAAAGGAGAAAGAAGCTAATATTCTAGTGTTCAGTCAAATGAACCCTACGTAGTTAGCGACCCGCTCTCAGCGTCCAAATAGCATATGGGCACCAAACAACTTTCTTGTTCTCATAAAGGGAAAAAGGGGAAAAATAATGTGCTGTTTAAGTCTGCTTTAGTAGCCATCAGTTGCTACTGAAGCGATTGCCATCGACACATATCTCAGGTTGACAAAAGAGATTAGTCGAGGTTTCGCGCTAGTGTGTTTTGCAAATAAGGCGGTAGAATCCAGGTGTCGAGACCTTTTCTTCAAGGAATGCCGCACAATTCTAGTTCTGTGGGGACATGGTATGGTCATAATTTCTAGTGATCTTCTCACAAATGTGTGCATGATTGAGATCTTGATGAAGGTTATGAGAGACAGTTTCTTCACCTTCATTCAATACAAACAGTATTAGTGGCGATTGCTGAGCTACTGCAGGGCTAATATGCAAGGCTTTCAGTAGTGCCTGCCTCTACTTTCGAAGAAAGTGGTGGCAGGTGTGAGTATCTAACCTGAAGAGGCGAAAAGATTGCAGACTACATGAGCTGCTCTGAATAGCCTGAGACATTAAGAAAGACTCCACTCAAACGATCTCCGGGTGAGGATGCGGTTGTACAGATATTGTGGAATGCATGTGGCAAACGACAGAATGCAAAGCTCTGCAAGAGAAAACAAGGAAATAAATAGTTTCATAACGGAATTGTCTAAGCGCTTCAGTTGTAAGAGTGATTTCGGACCTTCCGATTTGGCAGATAGAGAAAGAGTTAGATGGAAGTATGGATCTCTCTTACAATAGTGCTTTCAATAGTTAGTAGAATTGTGGTTGTAAGACAATAATTTATTCGAAAGAACTGATTTCCGTACAAAACCGGAGTTTCCTCGTGCATTCTGCTCATAGAGGGAAAAATGTCGACTTAAAAATTACGGTCGCTGGAATGTCATTTCATGCCAGGAAATTCCACTGTGAGCCTCTTTATTCTTTACAAATTTGAGGTTCTATATGGTATCATTGTCGTGAAGATGTACGCATGGGAGGAAGCGTTCGAGAAGAAAATATGTCATTTACGAAAGGAGGAGGTGAAACTGTTGAAAAAGGCAATGCTCCTCACACGAGTACTCCAAGCAATAAATGCAGCAGCTCCTTTTCTGGTATGTATTACTCTTTAGAATAGTGGCTGCGTTACGTTCTATTATGCTTACAAATACTAGGTGCAAAATCGAGGAATCAAGCAATAAGTAAACATAGAATTACACAGGCAGTATTAGAGAAAAGTAAAAGGTATAGGAATGGTAGTGACCTCTTGTGTCCGAATGCTGAATGAGGACAAAAAAAAAGACATCTACTGAAGCAACACATATGGTAGAAGGGGGATTTCACTGAAAAAAAACCCCATGTCTCTGATATACGCTCCAGCATCGGTATGCGCCGTCGCGCTAGAAGTTACCCTTAAATCATCTCTTGCACGGCAAGCAATTGACGGTTCAAAGTTCTCAAATTTTCTGAGGACTCAAGCTCGGCCGTCGACGACAAGCTGCTTGCATGTATGCATATATATATATATATATATATATATATATATATATAT